CTAAACCCTAAACCCCCAACCCCAAACCCTCAACCCTCAATCCTAAACCCTAAACCCCCAACCCCAAACCCTCAACCCTCAACCCTCAACCCTCAACCCTAAGCCCTAAACCCCCAACCCTAAGCCCTAAAACATGCCAGGCTTAAGTCCCAGTCGCCTAGAGCGACCCCTAAATCCCCACCACAGAAATCCGGAGGCCCCTACAGCCCGAAACAGTTTTTTTTTTCTTGGGGAGGTGGTTTAGGGTTTAGGGGTTTAGGGTTTGGGGGTTTGGGGTTTGGGGGTTTGGGGGTTTAGGTTTTTAGGGTTTTGGGGTTTTGGGTTTAGGGTTTGGGGCTTTAGGGTTTGTGGGCTTCGGGTTTAGGGTGTGTTTGTGTTGGCTATTCCAGAAGTGCATCGTCACGCCTGAAGCGGCTTAACTTTTAACATAGGGTCTGATCAACTACTAGTCTCGTCCCTTGTATGAAGCCAATTAAGGCCCCTATAACACCACCTTCAACTCTAGACCCTGGAAGACCTGCAGATGGTGCAGCAGGACTCCGTGTCGCCTTGACTGCATCCCAGGGGCAACTTGGTTTAACACAGCCTTTCGGTCTTAGGGTTCCGGCTTTTCTTGGGTCGTGGGGACGGGGTCATAGGGGACTCGAAGGTTTTTAGAGGGCTTTAGCGAAGTTTTTATGGGGTTTCATGTCAGTCCTAGAGGTGTTAAAGTTCAGGTTTCAGTGTTTTTGTTTGGGTTCTTGTTAAGGTGGTAAGAAATTTCTTAAGGACTTCCTATGAAAGTTTTATGTGGTTTGTGGAGTCGGGGCCTAGGGGTTAGAGATTTGGAGGTTGTAGCAACTTCGGGGTTGAAGGTTCAGGGCTCCTAAACCCTAAACCCTAAACCCTAAGCCCAAGCCCTAGAACCCAAACGCCTAAACGCCCAGACCCTGAACCCTCAAACTCTACAACCCTTCAGCGATCCTCTGGAAGTTGATTCATGGAATTTGAGCCTGGCGGAGGCGGGAAAGCCCACCATCCAACAAATCCTTCACAGGAAATGGCAGGAAGAGCGTGATCACATGACGGTTTGAAAGCGCGCCGCAAATGGATGCTCTGGATGGTGATTGAAAGCACCACAAGAGTCTTGCAGGTCAAACCAGACGCAAGCCAGTGGGTCTCTCCAAACCACTTGCAACTCTAATGAGATCTCTGCCTCCAATATTGCCAGCAGTCCTCCCACTTCTGCAAGTTACAGGCCCAGGCAAGAGATTTTGCCAGCTGCTCTTAGCAACAGGTCTGGTTGTTTCGATGCTCGATTTGTCGATGACGGGAATTGTGGAAACCTGGCCTTCACACCAGGCTCGACATGGCTGGGAGCTACATCGCAGTCTGGTCGGTGAGGCACACGAAATGAACAGGCCTTGAATGCAAAGGGCTATTGCAACGATCATGTCATCTATCTCGAGCATCGACAGATCGCTCCGTGCACTGTGTCCACCGTCCAGGGAGATGACCCGGTCAGCAGTGTCGCCAGACGCATAGCAGGCATAACGCCCGTTGCTGACATCAGGAATGTTGAGTTTGACGAGGCTGCCACTCGAGCTGACTTGGAGGCCACATGCTTCCCCTACATGGCAATGCTTAAGAAGAGCCCGAACACCACGGATAAGCTCGACCATAGCGCGCACGGCTCGCTCAAAAAAGGCCTTAAGCCCTAAAGGTCACCCTAAACCCGAAACCCTAAACCCCTAAACCCTAAACTCTAAACCCTAAACCCTCCCTCAACCCTTAAGCCCTAAAGGCCACCCTAAACCCTAAACCCTAAGGGCCACGGTTTAAGGTCGAACATTCTGGGAAATCGTGTTTTTGCCCCGGGTCTTCACCTTCGGGTTGCAGTATAAACGGGGTCAACCCTACTGTAACCTTTTAGGGGTATAGGGTTTAGGGTTTAGGGCTGAGGGGTTTGGGTTTGGGGTTTAGGATGTTGGGTTTAGGGTAGTAGGGTTTAGGATTAGGGTTAAGGGTCTAGAGCCCGAACCCCTCAACCCTAAGCCCTGAACCCAAAACCCTGAACGTTTGGGGCAGCGGGTTGCGAGATTTTGGGTGTCGGCTTTCAAGATTTACCGTTCATCGGCGATGTTCGGGTTTAGGGTTTAGGGGTTGAGGGTCCAGGGTTTAATTAGGGTTCCACAGGTACCAAACCCTAAAGCTTTCAACTAGCTAACAAGGGGCTAAGCATTCCCGCAAATTCGATATCAGGCAATCCGTAAGACAAGTTAGGGCTCCAAGAGAACATAAACCCTAGACCCTAAACCCTAAACTCTAAACCCTAAAATAAAGGATCTCCCAATTAAGGCTTTCACCTAAAACCTGAGCCTTAGGCAATCTTCCCAATTAAGGCTTTCACCTAAAACTTGAGCATTCGGCAATCCTCCTTACGGGGGTAGGCTTAGGGTGTAGGGTTTATGAAAACTGCTATTGACTTGTTTTTATAAGTCAACTTACTTACAACCCATAGTTAAGGTAGTTATAAGCCTACAGACTAAGACCCCTAATCCTGTAAGTAAGCCCCAAAACCTTTTATCGAGCCCATATATAAGCTCATCATGATAAAGCCCTATTCCGTCTAAACCCCGTAAGGCCCTAAACCCTAAGCCCTAAAACCCTAAGCCCTTAAGCACCAAGCCCTAAAACCCTAAACCCAAAGCCCTAAACCCGAAAGCACTGAGCCCTAAACCTTTGCAGATTCCACTGATCCTCCGGGTGGCGCTTGTGAGGCTCCTGCTGTGTGCCGATGGTGCCTTGGACCGTCTTTGGTGTTGCTACGAGAGGCCGGAACCCAACTGGGTCTGAGGGGCGGTCACAACTTCTTACACGCCCTCGACAGAGCCACGTAGGAGCTTGTATTTTGGGGACTTAAAAAATGGCCGTAATTGAGAGAACTACCCATATGGTCGTGCCGTTGCAAAGGCCCTCTGTTCGATCATCCACTCTGGATGTTTCTGCCCATAGCTACATCAAACAGCGCCTGGTACCATAAATTATGCGATGTCTGACTGGGACTTGAGCTTTCTTATCCGGATGTATGGAACCAGCCTGACAGATCAAAGCTCCCCTCTCGCTTAATTCGAAACCAGCAATATCAAAGCCTTCATAAGCACAGCCTGCTTTGCCCACGGACAATGCACTGCATCATGTCTAGGCCCCTACAAAGATCGTGTTCAGGCCCGAAAGTATCTTTAACGGAAATAACTTTCTTGCTGGATTGAAATCCCCACCCACAGTAATTGGGGCTAATTCAATAGTACTCATATCCGTTGTAGTACGTATATGTCTCAGGCTTTCCCGGCGAAAAGGCTTGGGAAGTGACGCCAACTAGGGACTATCCAGCTGGACCAAAGCTACGCTGACGAAGGGCCCTGCAGCGAGGCTCTGTTGACTCAGTAAGACTACGTGGTATCCCCGACAACCCCTACAACAATCCGTGAAAACCTTCATGTGACATCCTTCAATTCCAAAGATGCGAATGAGATTACCTGGACCCCAAAAGGCCTCGTCTGGTGACTCCATGTTCAAAGGTTTTTTCACCTGCGGCTTGGGAGTGAGGTCCACATTTCAAGTTCTGAGAATGGAAGATGACATCAAGCCAGCCTTCATTGTCCTGCTGATTCCTTTATTTCAAGTCATATGCTAATTCATAAGCTGACTGGAGGCCATGTATACCGTCAGTTCCAGGAGTTAAAGTCTTGTGGGGGACCCAAATGGTGCAATATTTCCTCTCTCTGCAGCAAGTCTACTGCGACACATTGTTGGAATTGGGTGTCAGACAAGATGCAATGCTCAATACTCATACTTCCGTTGCATATATAATTGGTACTACATAGCCGCGGCCGCCATGGACGAATGGCACAGTTCGGTTGACATGTTATGCTCACACTATGAAGAAGTTCGGCATCGGCTTGCCCAGATCCAGCATGCTGTGCAAGAGGGCGAGCGCATTTGGCGAGATGCGGTGCCAATGCTTGATAGGAGAATCTGGCAGCAGCAGCAAGCTGTAGAGCAAAAGCAACATGCCTTGCTCTCTAGCTACGGTTTCCTGCATGCTCTAGGCTTTGAGACCTCCGGTGATAGATTTCGCCAACAGGAACTCCAAACAGCACAGCAACATCTCCACGATCTCCGCGCCGAACATCAACGGCTCATTCAGCAAACCCAAAACCTCAAGAAACTTGAGGAGGACAGACTTCTTTGCGAAGGCGGAGAGCTTCCAATCAGCCATTGGGCTAAGAACAAGGCAGTGAGGTATATGAACTCGCACAAGGCAGATTTCGTTCAATTACATCAGCACCTGGCTTTAAAGGCTCAGGCCCTGCTGCAAGCCCAGTGCAACGCCTCGTATGCAGAAAGGCTGGAACATTCCACTCGGCTTGGGGTGTGAGAGGTGCTTCTGATGCCTACGACAATCATATTTGCTGGTTGCAATGGAAAGCTGTGCTACTTTGCTTCTCATGGTTTCTCACGCTGCAAGACAAGATCCGGGAGCTGCGAGCAGTCTTCGTCTGGCCATGCATCATCCTAAGCACAGTGCTGTTGCTCTATGACATCCCGAACTGCTGGCATCTTCCGGGATTTCAAGAATCTCTGAGAAAGCAGCAAGCAGAACACGCGAGAGCACAGGACGGTGCACGGGAAAAAGCCCAAGTTGTGGCCCGAGCGCAGCTCGAGCGTGACACCATTCAACAAGACATCAACAAGATTCTCTCGGAAGCGACTTCGATCCGTGACCGTGCCGTGCATGATTATTGGCAGAACATGTCAGCTTCAAGGAGGCGTCGCATAGCGGCAAATGACTCGCAGCTGTCAGACGAGGAATGGCAGGATCTCCTTGAAGAACAGGGGGCTTCTGATGAGGAGGAAGAGGAGAGACGACGACAGGAAGAAGATGCTTTAAGCGAGGAGGAGGAGAGACGACGACAGGAAGAGGAAGAGGAGGAGGAGTGGTGGCGACTACAGGCAGAACAGGACGAAGATGATTCGTACTGGTCAGATAGCGAGGCCTGCCGGAGATGGGAGGAAGACCAATGGCTCCAAAGCCAAAGAGGGTACTTTTATAGCGGGTTTGTTTAAAGCTGTGCTCCGGATCATGAAGCGGCTGCAGGACCGGGTCGTGCAAAAAAACCACGTGAGCGATGCTAGCTGCAGCAACATCAGTGAAAACAGTGCGCGGAGGATTTCTCGAGGATTTGGATGCTGGATAAACAACAGCAGCTGGGTGCAGCGCGTAGCATGGGTTCATGTGGGAGGTTGTCAAAATTATGGTCCCTTTTTGGGTCCTTATTATAATACGGCACCTATTATTTAGGGTACCCCAAAAGGGACCCTAATTTTGACAACCACCCATGTGTCCAAGAGTTTAGCTTCTCTTTTTGCAGGGCGAGGTGGGGCCCTTCCTGTCAAGTTAATTGCTTGAACTCAACATGTTTGCCAACAGCCATTAGGTACTCCCAAAAAGGAACTACTAAACCCTAAACCCTAAACCCTAAACCCTAAACCCTAAACCCTAAACCCTAAACCCTCCACCGGCGGCGACTTTCTTTAATCGCCGGGATGAGCGACTGTTTCAAGGCTTAGTGTTTGGGGGTTCAGGGCTCAGGGCTGTTGCAAACCTGGTGCTCACGTACACCAAAGCGCAGAAGCTCGAAGTTTGTAATTCATGGCCCAAGGCATGGCCCACATCTTGTTTAGGGTCCAGGATTCTGGGGTTTTAGGGCTTGTAAGGTTTAGGGTTTCCGGGTGTCGGGCAACATGTCTTTTAACGCCTATGAAGGTCTCCTGGAGGGCAAAGCCAGGTATGCAAACCCTAAACCCTAAACCCTAAACCCTATAAGCCTTAAATGCTAAACCCTGAACCCTAGAACCCTTAACCCTAAACCCCTAAACCCTAAATGCGGACATGTCAGAAGCACCACGCCCAAGCCCTATAAAGATCGTGTTCAGGCCCGACAGGATGCAGCTTCCTCCCTTGCGGGATCGAAACCTCCCAACTGCATCCCTTTGTAGTTTGTGCATACTCATACTTCTCCATATCCCAATACCCCTTTCTACTTGCTGCGGCCCCTGTATACTCGACACATGCTCTGATTTTCTGAAACCCTAAACCCTAAACCCCCTAAACCTTACAACTTAAGGCCGAAAACCGAGACTCTGAAGCCCAAGCCTTCTAGCCATGAACCTCTCAAAAAGCCTTCTAGCGATCCTTTTTAGGGTTCAGGGTTTAGGGGTTCAGAGATTTAGGGGTTTAGGGGTTTAGGGTTGAAGGTTTAGGGGTTTAGGGTTTAGGGGTTTTTGGGGTTTACGGTTTAGGGGTTTAGGGACCCCTTGTGATGAGCCAAAACCAAGATCTCGCAACCCCATTCGACAAAAGGCTCCTGGCGCAAGGATGCGGCTGCAGCCACACTGACGTAGTTGTGAGAAGTGCACCGCAGGCTGGTTAATTGTAAGAAGATTCAATTTAAGTTGTCATCGTGGATAGATAGCTAGATTCTTAAATGGATAGATGGAGAGATAGCTATATTCATACATCCTTTGTTCTGTGTTCATATAAGCTTGCGGTCATTTACATATTTATGCCTTGTATATATATATATGTATCTTACACAGATATGCAGGTATGTATGTATGTATGTATGTATGTATGTATGTATGTATGTATGTATGTATGTACGTATGTATGTATGTATGTATGTATGTATGTATGTATGTATGTATGTATGTATGTATGCTATTTCCTGCTGATGGTATCCTCAATTAAGCTCCTCAGCAAGAACCCCCCAGGAGTTCGCCTCAGTCTGGTAGGAAAGTGGTGATGGGGCTTCTGGGTTCAGGGTTCAGGGGCTTTGGGGTTTAGGGTTTGGGGTTTCGGGTTCGTGGGCTTTAGGGTTTTAGGACCCCTAAACCCTAGACTGCAGACCCTCAAACTCCTAAACCCTAAACCCTAAACTCTAGGGTTCAGGGTTTAGGGTTTAGGGTTTAGGGTTTAGGGTTTAGGGTTTAGGGTTCAGGGTTTAGGGTTTGGGGTCTTTTGTGGTTTGGGGACTTTCGGGTTATCGTTTAGAGGCTGGAAGGTTCCGTAAACCCTACACCCCTACACCCTTAACCCCTACCTGTGGCCCAAAAAACCTACCCGCTTAAGGAACTATATATAGAAACCATAGTAGGGAACCCTGAAAGGTAGGTCTTTTCGGGGCAGCCCCGAGCCCGATTTAGTGTCTCGCATGAGAAGTTGGCGTAAAACCGAAACCCTCAATGTGGTGGTTCGGTGTGCGTTGGGTTCCGGGATTTTGCGGCTGCTTTCCTGGTCTCGGCCAGGGCTTCGTGGGAAGTAGACCTTGAAATATTTGTTTTCAAATTTCACAGGGCTTAAAGGGGACTATAGAGAAGAGTACATCTTAATTTAGACTTCATCATGATCTACGGAATGGAATTTCACTGTGAAAGTCTTCAAGGAATGGAAAGCAACATCCGAAGTCTTTGACCGATCTCCAAATCTGCAAACCCTAAACCCTAAACCCTAAAACCTAAACCCTAAAGCCTAAACCCGTGAGCAAAAACATGCCACGCCTTACGTCTTCCACAATGCCTAAGGGGGGTCGTTCGCTGGATGGACGCTGGAAATGAAATCATGTATTAATATAGAGGTCTTAATAGTTAGAATAGGGTTTGGGGATATACTATATTAGATGTATAGTAAGGAACCCCCAGAACCCTATTCTAGTTATTAAGGTCCCTACATTAAGTTTTATTGTTATTAGGAATCGGCGGTAGGGTTTCCAAACTGAAGGTTCCATTAGTGTGCGTCCCTATTAACAGCTTGGAAGCTATTTGCAGATTCGTCTCTGGGGTTTGGAGTTCAAAGGCAGTCTTTCAGGGTTCCATACAGGGGCCTTAATCAGTAGAATAAGGCTTGAGGGTACCTCATAGTATATGGGAGTTTCCGAAAATTAGGGGTACCTTATTTGGGGGTCCTTATAATAAGGATCCTACTATTTAGGGTACTATATTAGGGTCCCCTATTTTCTGAAACCCCCCATATTTCGGGAATAAGGAGAACCCTAAGAGAAAACATGGGGTAATATTCAGGTTTGTACATCAACTGTTGAGGTTCTGTGAGGGTAATCTGTTGTTCTTTAAGTGCTCCCCTTCAGGTATCTATGAGGGCTCTATGACGATTATGTGGGGTGCACGGATTCTGGGGTTCAGGGCATTCCGTTGCGTAGCATTTGCGGCGTGTCGGGTTTTGGTGGCTTCAGGGTGTTGAAGAGGAGGGAGGTTTAGGGTTTAGGGATTTGGGGCTGATTTTCTGCTCGGAGGCTTGAAGGCTTTTAGGGTCCAAGGGTTCTGGTGGAAGGCATGACCTTGTCGAAGGCGCCATATGGATCTCAAGTTGGCTTAGAACCCTAAACCCTGACTCCTGAACCCTAAGCCCTAGTCGGTACTCGAAGCTCGAGATCAGGCAGGTGCACAAAGGTGTTCAAAACAAACCCTAAACCCTACACTCAAATCCAAAGCCCTAAACCCTAAACCCTAAACCCTAAATCCTAAACCCTAAACCCTACACCCTACACCCTACACCTTACACCCCTACACCTTACACCCTAAACTCAAACCCAAAGCCCTAAGCCTGCCAAGCAGGCCGCTGTCCTCCTCGACAATGCGACCGACAAGGAACCGCAGAGCCCAGAACCCCGTAACTTAGGGAGTATATGTTTCCTGTTTCGCTTTTGTATAATTATCATGGCTTGCTAGGATTTTATAGGGTTTCGAGAGCTCATTATGCCTGTGATTGAAGGCGATTATTGTTTGCTTGGCGCATGCATATGCTGTACATGTATTCACATACACACGTACACATACACACATATCTAAAGTATCTGTGTACCTACCGACCGACCCACCGACCGGACCGACCGACCGACCGACCTACCTTCCTTCCTACCCACCCCTACCTACCTACCTACCTACCTACCAACCTACCTACCTACCTACCTACCTACCTCCCTCCCTACCTACCTACCTACCTACCTACCTGCCTGCCTGCCTGCGTACCTACCTACCTACCTACCTACCTACCTACCTACCTACCTACCTACCTACCTACCTGCCTACCTCCTGGGTTTTCCTGTTTGGTTTTTGCTCATTGCATCAACTGATACTCGGTTCCAGTCGCGACAACGCTAGGAAGAGGGTCCTCGCCTCGTCTTACTTTGCCGCATGGCGAGACCCGGCCATGTACGCCGATGCCTTGTGCACCGCTCGACCCGCGGCCGTCTGGGACTCCTTTGTTGTTATCACAGCACGGAATACGGCGTGTGGGTCCAACAGCTGACATGCTTTAGGTCTCGGGCCGGTTTGTGTACCCCTGGTACCGCAAATCGGACGCCGAGACTCTGAAACATTGCAGTCCCAAACCCTTAGCTCATTTGGAGTTGTGGAACACGGCGAACCCTTGATGTAGACCCGAAATGTTACAGTCATTACTAGAAGGACGCCTGGCTTTAAATCCTCCCTTGCAACACTGAGCCTGTCGTTCATGGGGGCTCGAAGTAATCCTTGTGGCCGCAGGATCTTTTTCTCACCGACCAAATCGATACAGGGACGTGCCTTTCTACGGCTCAGCAACTTTGATGTAAGGGTTCAGGGTTTCGGCCTGGGTGTTTGGGGGTTGAAGTCTGCACCCTGGGTAAACCGTCAGGTTTCAGGTTCGGTCTCTGGTCGAGGGTTTGCTTTCGATTTTAGGTTATACGTGTCTTTATTTTTTTGATGTATCATCTCTGACATACAGGGGCGTTGTGCCTTGTTCTGCTTATTGAGTTAGCGATGGTCATTTCCGTTTTCTCACTGCACCCCCTCCCCCCAGGCCACAAGCCCCCAGCCCCAAACCCCTGAAGCCCCTTAACCCCAGACCCGAAACCCTAAACCCTAACCTTTAACCCTAAACTCTAAACCCGAACCTTTAACCCTAAACTCTAAACCCTAAACCCTAAACCCGAACCTTTAACCCTAAACTCTAAACCCTAAGCCCTGAACCCGAAACCCTCAACCCTAAACTCTAAACCCTATTTAGGGTT